TGGCAGCAACTTGACTTGTTTGAGACCCATGACTAGAAATGTCCTGATGATGGTGCCAAATTCAGGGAAATAGTGGAGACCAAAAGGGTTTTCAAATTCCTCATGGGACTTAACAAATCCCTCGATGAAGTTCGGGGTCGAATCCTTGCCACCAAGCCTCTCCCTAGCCTTTGACAGGCTTTTTCTGAGGTTCGTAGGGAAGAAAGTCGAAGAAAAGTAATGCTGGGAAAATCAGGGGCATTGTCAACTCCCGAAGGTTCAGCCCATGTGGCTCACGGTTTGCTGCCATCACAGGAAGATGCCTCAGTCCAAGCTCATGATGCCCGCGGTCCTCCTCAACACTTGAATGACAACACGCCTCGTAGAGGGAGACCTTGGTGTGATCACTGTCGAAAACCAGGCCACACCAAGGACACCTGCTGGAAAATCCATGGAAAACCCGTGGACTGGAAGCCTAACCGTGGGTCTACTGAGCGTGAAAACCGTGGGAATGCAGCCTCAACAGAATTCACTGGTGTATCCTCTCAAGCTCCATTTACCAAGGATCAAATCGAGGTCCTTCAGATGCTAATTAGTCAAGCAAACAATCAGCCAACTCCTACTATTATTGGTACAGGAGGTACTGCTAAAAGAGGTAATATATCCATTGTTTTTGGTGCAACCAGGACACTCTCAAATACATGGATTGTTGACTTTGGCGCATCAGATCACATGATTGGAAATAAATCATTGCTCACATCATTTAGTCCATGCCGGAGTCATCTCACAGTCCGTGTAGCCGATGGATCATGCTCTAAAGTGGCTGGAATTGGCACTGTTAACCTATCTCAAAACCTTGTTCTTCATTCAATCTTACTCCTGCCTAATTTAGACTGTAATTTATTGTCAGTGAGCAAACTTACCAGTGATTTGGACTGTGTTACTAAGTTTTCTGCCAAAACTTGTGTTTTTCAGGATTCAGAATTGGGGAGGATGATTGGCAATGCTGAGCTTTGTGCAGGTCTCTATCTCCTCACTCATGATGATTCACAAAAAGAAAAACTCTGCAGCAAAGTTTGTGTCAATCCAGAGAGTCAGTTACCTAGTATGTCCTTGTCTTCGAGTCTGTCCAATAAGGATAGTGCTGTTATGATGTTGCACTATCGTCTAGGTCATCCAAATTTTTTTTATCTTAAACGACTATTTCCATCATTGTTTATCAATAAAAATTCAAAACTCTTTCATTGTGATATCTGTCAATTATCTAAACACACACGCAGTTCTTATTCACCTCAACCATACAAGTCCTCTCATCCTTTCTCACTCATACATAGTGACATACGGGGTCCCTCAAGAGTTGTAAATGTCACCGGGGCCCGCTGGTTTCTGTTATTTGTTAATGATCATACACGCTTAAGTTGGGTGTTTCTAATGAAAGACAAATCAGAAACTAGTCAGATATTCAAAACATTTCATGTCATGATCCAAAATCAATTCAAAACCAACATTCAGGTTTTCAAAACAGACAATGCCCGGGATTTCTTCAATTCTGTTCTTGGAGATTATTTGCAAACTCACGGTATTATTCAGGAAGTTGAAAGTGTAGAAAATCTTCTAGAAGTTAGCTATATTTATTGTAAATAGAAACCGTGTACATTGAAATAAATTAGGGCTGATTGTTAGGAGAATATCTCTCTGATTTAGTTACCTTAGTTAGGTAGATTTTTCCTATTTTAGAGGATCTTAACATACCTCTCCTTGCTGTATATATTTTCGACCAGTGAATGAGAAAAGTAAGAAGTTTCTCTTCCAAAATATTCTGCAGAAAGATTAGCGGGAGTTGTGGGGTGGCAGCGAGGAATCGAATTTCATGGCCATTGAGAAGTTGATGAGGGATTTTTTGTGGGGGTGGCAGTGAGGAATCGAATTCCAATCATCTTGTAGGATGGGAAGACGTGTGTAAGTTGTGACAGGATGGGGTCACTTTTTATAGATTTGTCCTGGGTGTTTTGTTTTTGGTTTACTTATATGCTGCTGATCCTGTATAGTGGGAGCTTGGTTCGGTTGAGGATAACTCTTCCTCTTCTCTCCTAGTTCTCTTTTGTTAATTTTTTTAATTTTTTAATAGTCTCATTTCTTTTCAAAAAAAAAAAAGGGAGTTGGGTGAGGTGGACCTATTATCTTGTTTGGAGGATTGATGGGTCTGGGATTTTGAGGGGTCGGGCCTATTTTCATGCAATGTTCTTTTCAGTTTTGTTTTTTTTTTTTTTTTTTTGCTATTTGAAAAGAAACTGAGATTTTATTAAAAATTTGGCAAAAAGTGAGATAGGAGCGAAGAGGAAGAGTTATCCTCAACAGAACCAAACTCCCACTATACATGACGAGTAACACTAAAGAAAACCAAAACAAACATCTAGGACATGACTAGAAAAACAGGCCCCAGCTCCTAAGGAAGTCTGAAAAAATTGGTTTCATAAACTCTGTCTCTATATACCCACAGCGACACCCAATACTTTGTTTTGTCCCAAAGAACATCTTCCTCTACCCCTTGATTCTCAAAAATTCTATTATTCCTCTCCAACCACAAACCCCAAAAAATAGCTAAAACCGCAGCCTCCACATTATCAACCCGAAGTTCTTTTCGATTCTTTAATTGATAACCAGTCTTTCTATCCCTTTAACCTTTGTCATTTTGTTTGAAAAATCTCAATTCCTACGAAAATTCAAGTTTTGGTTGGTTGCTTGCACTTTTGGTATTGATTTCACTCAGACTTATGGTATTGATTACCAAGAAACGTTTGCCCATATAGCCAAGTTTAATTCTATCTGTGTTATTGTCTCTTGCAGTTAATTCCAACTGGCCATTATACCAGTTAGACGTGAAGAATGCCTTTGTTAATGGCAATTTGGAAGAAGAGGTGTTCACGAGTCTACCTCCAGGATTTGAAAAGTTTTTTGGCCAAGACAAAGTCTGGAAACTCAAGAAGTCCTTATATGGTCTTAAACAGTCTCTAAGAGCATGGTTTGAACGCTTTGGAAAAGTTGTAAAAAAACCATGGCTATCATCAAAGCCAAGCGGACCATACCATGTTCTACAAACACTCTAAAGAGGGAAAAAATGCAATTCTAATTGTTTGTGGATGATATTATTTTGACAGGTGATGATTTTGAAGAAATGACCAAACTAATGAAAAGACTGGCAGAAGACTTCGAGATCAAAGACTTGGGGACACTAAAATACTTTCTTGGCATCGAAAAGCAGGAATTGTCATAAATCAAAGAAAGTATATCCTTGATTTACTCGATGAAACAGGCCTTATGGGATGTAAAACTATTGAAACTCCAATTGAAGCCAACTTGAAGCTTACTCCAACAAAACCAGAAGATGTGATTGAAAGGAGGAAATTTCAACGATTGGTAGGTAGATTAATCTACTTGTCACATACTCATCCTGATATAACCTTCGCCGTAAGCATGCTGAGTTAATTCATGCATTCACCGAGACAAGAGCACTTTGATGCAGCCTATAGAATTTTGAGATATCTAAAGGGGACGCCTGGTAGAGGACTAATGTTTAAAAAGGGTGACAATCTACAAGTTGAAGTCTATACAAATGTGGATTGGGTAGGAAGCACGACTGACAGACGATTAACTTCAGGATACTGCACTTTTGGTTGGAGTAAATTTGGTCACCTGGTGGAGTAAAAAACAAAATGTAGTAACAAGAAGTAGCGCCGAGACTGAATTCAGGTCTCTTGCACACGGGATTTGTGAGGTGATATGGATCAAAAGATTATTTGAGGATTTGAAGATCCCGGTTCCACTTCCCATAAAGGCTTACTGCAACAACAAGGCTGTCATTTCAATAGCTCATAACCCAGTTCTACATGATAGAACAAAGCACATTGAAGTTGACAAGCACTTCGTCAAAGAGAAAATTGAGAGTGGCCTAATCTGTGTTTCCTATGTACCAACCATTCAACAGACAGCTGATATACTTACTAAAGGACTACAGAAGAGACAGTTCGAATTCCTAGTAAGCAAGCTAGCTATGGAGGACATCTACAAGCCAGCTTGAGGGGGAGTGTTGAAAAGAAAGATATACGGTATCAATTATACCGAATATTAGGAGTAATTAGACATGATCATAGGAGATTGAGTCAAGGATCAAGTAATGAACGTGATTGAAGGAGATTGAGTCAATTAAGGGAATTAGTTGGGAAAGTTATGATTAGAGTTGATTTTGTACAGCTATTAGTTTTTTCCATAGTTATTAGTTTTCCTAAAAGAGCTTTCTTGTATTCTGTATTCTGTATTTAAGTGTACATTGTAAACCTACCAAGTAAGTGTGAATATACATACTTTTCTTCTCCATATTCGTTTATAGTGATAATTAAGGCCTTATTCATTTCACCGATTCGAGTTTTCAGTTTTAGGTTTTCTACGGGGTTGTTTGTTTTGGGGATTCGTACCCCGATTCGAATCATGGTTCATGGTTCGCTACAGTGTTTTCTCTCACAAAAATACACGTAAATCGAAAATAGTTCTAATCTCATGATTCTAATCCATGAACCAAACGTCTGCTACAGTAAAAAGTTCTCAGAAAATGTCATATCTAACTTTTTCTGCTACAGTAAAAAGCTCTCAGAAAATGTCACATCTCAACTCAAATTGAAAACTCAAATCCGCGAAGTGAACGAGGCCTTAGTATCTTAGGTGCCCACTTCATAAAACAAGCACAGGGCTACTATGTTAAACATATTGGACCTTTGAATTGTAATTAAACATATTAAGGAAAGTTTTCCTTTATTTATTACTATCTGTCTCTCCCTTATCTCTCTTGGTCCTGCACATTGGCATTAACGGAACCAACATCTAGCTGTGAGACAAAAAGAACCACAATTTACATCTACAAGTAAATTTCTTTCTAACAGAAATTTTAAGAACAAAACATATAGCATTCAAAATGCCTAAAACGATTAATGATCTGAAGCAAAATTGTAATTTTAAGAAAATCTTACAAGTTCCTGTGATTGGCCCACTGGAACAATTTCCGAGAGAAACTCTTGTGCAGCCTCCACCAAATTGAAAATCATTACACGTCCTTCTCTAGCATTAGAATTTGCCTGAAACAGAAACAGGATGATTAACAAACACAGCTACAAGCAAAATACAATGTTGATCACAGAACTAGTTGAAGATTCCACACTGAAACCTTTTCCATATTCAGAAAACATACTTCTCGATATTTATAGTTATAGTTATTCCTGAAGTTATAGCAAAGTTGGCATATCCAACATGCTGGTGACAAGCATGTATGAAGCATGTATCAAAAAAAAAACAGTAAAAAAAATCATGTATGAAGCGAAGCATCAAAAGCAAGAACAAAAGCACCAATTGTAACTTTTCCAAAAAATGGATGCTCTTTAATTGTATATATTGAACCACCCAAAAAAAATATTTTTTCTAAGTAAAGGTTCCTCAAGATAATTTAAAAGGAAAATTAACCTTTTCATAACCTCAGCAAGCATGAAATGTATGCTTGCATATTCGTCCATGGGTCAAATTGGATATGTAATTATCTGATCCTACTATACCAATTTTTTTCTAGGATATCCTACTACTACTACTGTTGTTGTTGCGGCTACTGCTGCTACCATACACAATGAAATTAATATTCAAGTCCTACTAGATCTACACCAAGTTTGATCCCATGAATAGATATACAATGCTGGAAAGTTGCTTTGTATATGACTCTCTTTGATGAAATTAACAAGAGCAATTCATACATCCACGAACAATCCTTCTTCCTTTTTCCTTTTCCCTCTAGCAACCAAGACCAGTAAAACTGGTCCATGTATGTGCCTATGTGCATCGACCTATTCGTTTTTATCATCCAAAAGCTCTCGTTTGTGCTTTGCTCTTCCTCTTTCACAAAACGCATTATATTGACAGATTACTAAATCTCTTGAATGTGAAACCTACTTGCCCAACTAAATTAGAAAATCAATAAAAATTGTAAGACAAAACCAACCTATTATAATCACTATTTCTGAGACATTACAATGGATTTCCTCATAAGACCACAACCACGTAGGACTTAACAACTACCTGATCATGTAGAAGAGATAAGAGTTTATCCGCGTCATTTTCTGATAAACCTTTCTCTGGAGTAATCTGCAACTTCGGACACTTATAAGGATACCCTGGTAGGCACCTGACAAGATAAAAACAGTTATGGGAAGTCCATTGCATAGAAATAATATAAAGAAAACTTCACCAACCTAACAAGAAGAACTGCCGAGACGTCTACATCCTCAAAACCCATGTCCTTTGAGTAAGGCCTGTTCACATTTCAGGGACTTCTTAGTCAAGACAAGAAGAGTATACCTCAAAAGCAGGTTTTATACAACTTCAAGAAACACCAACCTAAGCTTGATGAAAACTTGAGGAGGTGGGCCAGGCAGAAATTTGCAGTCTTCTTGAAATATTGCGCATCTAAACATCATGAAACGAAGAAACAATTAAGGGGATGTAGTTCTATTTGGATTATTTCTCCTGTTTGGTTTTGTTTTGATTTTTTTTTTTTTAAGAAAGGAAATACAAGAAGTATATTACTAGCATGGAAACATGTTCAAGAAGTATATTACTTCAATTTTAAACTCGAATTTCCATGCTCATCATCCAAAGAAAAAAAAAACAGAAAAATCAAACATTATACATAGATTTCACGAACATAAACCCGGAAATTCTAGGCCTATTATCAGAGCCTGATTCTTTTTCTCCGGCGAAGAATCTGATCAAGGTTATTCTCCTCCGTAAATTCACGGCCAAATTCGTTCATACAATCCAAATTCACATAACTTTTCGCCAAATTCAACAGAAAAAGGAATCATCAAGATTTGACTTACAAAGCAGTGATTTCCTCGGAAAGAAGCTCATTATCATCGGCGCTTTCGTGGGAGGCGTGGTCCTTCAATGGCGTCCTACCTTTGGTCCTCTTCCCACTCCCTCCTCCGCGCTTCTTCTTCTTCGCACTATGCCCCATTTATTGATGATTGATGATTGATTCTTCTCAATCAAATTACCAGAGCAATTCAAGAATATTTGGGTTTTGGAAATGAGAGCAAGATTGGGGTCCTTTGGGTTTTTTTTTTTTGGGTTTATAAGAAATTAATAGGAGGATTAATCATCAATCAATCAATATCATCAATATATGAGAAATGTTAATAATGTTCCTGCCAAAACAGTGCCGTTTTGATGGAAAGCTTAGAGGTGTCAAATGGGCCGGGCCGTTCATGGACGGTCCGGCCCAGCCCGTAATAGTGTCTAATTCGGCACGGCCCGGTTCGTTACTGTTACGGGCCGTGTCGGCACGGCACGTATAATGGACTAGGGCTGGGCCTCAACTTCTCAGCCCGCGGCCTAAGCACGTGGAGGCCCGTAGCACGGCCCTTATTCGGCCCGGCTCAAGCCCTTATGCGGCCCGGCCCAAGCCCACGACGGCCCACGAAGAAGCCCATTTCATTTGGTCCAGTGGGCCCTTTGCGGGCCCAATGTTCGACACGTGACGGGCCTCCCGTTTGGCCCGTCACGTGCCTCCCGTTTGGCACATGATGGGCCAAACGGGAGGCCCGTCACGTGCCGCACGTTGGACCCGCGAAGAGCCCAACGGAAAAAAACCGAATTTTAACCCAAAAATCCCCTATAAATACCCCTTAATTTCACCATAAATCTCACACAACAATTCACTCTCATCTTCTCATCTTACTCTCATTCTATCTCTCAACTTGTCTCTTTGATTTTGATTCTAAGTTTTTTTCTCGCGTTCAATCATTTTCTAGCTCTTTCATTTACAAAGTTCAATCAAGTTCTATCAATTTCCAGAAAATAGCCTCACTAAATTTCCCTGATTTCACTGCTCTTCCTGAGCTTGGTGAGGAGACATTTTTTGAGAAAGAAATGATGCCTTCCAACCCCACACCCACTGAACCAGAAAATGCTCCGGTGGATAATGCTTCAGTATACAACAAAGAAGCTGGAGAACGCAGCAGAGGAAAAAGACCGCGAACTTCTCCGGCATGGTAGCATTTCACCAAGGAGCCCGACCAAATCCAAAAACAGGTGAGATGGAAATTCGTGCGGTATGTAAATATTGTAAAAATCACTTTTCTAATAAAAATGGTGGGACATCTGGATAGACATTGAAAAATATGTCTACCGTTGCACCAAGGTGGGAGTGTGGACTCCCACCAACAAACACTATCACTCACATCACATGGGTTACAAAATTTTACATACGATGCACAACGTGCTCGTGAGGCACTAGCTAAATTTCTAGCTAGTGCCGAATTGCCTCTTTCTTTTGCAGATGATGCATCCTTCAAAGAATTCATCCAGACAGCCTTTTGCACACAATTTAAATGGGTAAGTAGAAACACAACTCGTTATGATTGCATGAAAGTTTTTTATGCAATGAGACAATCTCTTGTTGATAATTTTAGGACTTTTAATGCTACTGTGTCTTGCACTTCTGATCTGTGGGAG